AAAGTCGGTAAACATACATAATTACCCAAGAACTTTTGTACAAACACCAAATCTGTACAACCGAGGTCAACTGCTGTAAGGTTTGTTACAAACAACATCAACTTCTTGGAAGAGTATGATTTAATTTTCCTTCTGTTGTGAAACTGTCTTATTCAGGTTTTCAGAAAGTTTACTAAGAAACACAGATACTTGTACCAGTAGAAAACAAACAAAAGGTTTTGAATCATCGTGTGTTCCTGGTAGAATGTTCAGATAAACACGGTTAGTACCTGAACCGCTCATGAACAGATTTCATTTTTTTCTTGTTTTAAGATTTTGAAAAGTTGTGTATGCACATATACTATCTTAATTGATTAGATTCACTTTGTTAATGTTGATGGATATGCAAGTTGCACATACTATGAGTGGATTATCTGTCGTAACTTAGTTACCTGAAAACGGATAACGGCTACTGTGCCCCCCCCCTCCACACGCACGCATGCCATACCATAGGAAATTAGCTGTCGCAACTTAGTTACTTTACAGCAGATAAGGGCTGCTGTGCTCTCCCCTCCATTCGCGCACGCATATTTTAGTGTTTTTTTTACCCTTTCCCCCGGAGGGGGGCGAGGGTATTGTAATCGGATCCGTGTGTGTGTGTCTGTCTGTCTTTATTTCTGCGCGCGTATCTCGAAAACTAATGTACACGAACATTTCACTAAAGATGGGAAGTCAATATGAGACAGTCCTCACCAAATTTAGTCCGGATCCAAATCCGGATCACTTTGAAGCATTTTTTTTATAATGGGGAGATTGGGCATTATCGCAGTTTTGGGTTAATAATTCTGTAAAGATTGTTCGGAATTGTACCAAATTTCATGGGTACATTAATATTGAGACTCCTCATCACACTACAAAAAATTATCCGGATCGTTGATCATCCTGGATCTGAGAAGAATTTTCTAAGTTTTCAAAGGTGAAATTTGACGTTATTGAATATAAACGCACGAAATCTCTAAAAGGAGCAGCAGGCCTAGGGTATGAAATCTATCTGATTGATCATGTCGTTGTTTTTAAATAACAGGTGGAAATAATTCAATGTCCAGTCCATATAAAGATAATAAATTAGTTTATTTCATTTTTTTACGTTTTACAATCTCAGTCAAGATGTTTACAAATGATGCTAACAGTACAACACTAACGTAAAGAATAAACCTACTTGTACGACTTCATGGTTGAAACGAAAACACAATGGCTAATTTACTCTTTTGTCTAGAAACAACTCATTACCTTCTTGGCTGTCTCTATGAAACTGTTAGAAACGACCTTATTGTCTTTAAATAACTCTACTATTTTTCATAACTATCTAATATTTGTAATCTATTCTAGAATGTAATAGAAGCGTCTGGCGTCAAATCTTTTAGAATTTTCTAGACCTTATTGACCTATACTAACTTCATCACTTCCATATGCAGCTCCCTCTAGCTAACATCTAAATTACAATATTAAAAATATAGCTTACAATAAAATACAAGCACGTCTAAGTTGGATGGTGGCAGAATGCAGTAGAAACCATTTATATGGGGAAATCGCTGTTTGTGCCGTCGGTTTGACATTAAAACTTGTAAAACGTCTTCGTTGTATATGATTTAACCGAAAAAACACACAAGTCTTTACATTGACGTTTTAAAACCACATATGAATTTTTTACATATATTAAAGTATCTATATCATAAAGTAATGATTTTATGTGTATGTACATATGCATGTATATCAATATATCCTGGTTTCATAAGTACGATCATACCTCTTCAAAGACTTGCAGCTGTGCCACTAGGGGGCGCTTTGGTAATGAAGATTTATTGTTTGATATTAAAGCGTGAAACACAAAACGCTGTAAATGAGCAGAAAAAGGGTGGTTTTATGTTTGTGATTTTTTTGTTTCTTTCTTTTAGTATAGGTGCTGATATTATGAGAATAATCGCCAATGAAGAACATTATGTAGTAATAATACGTACAAGAGTTTAGTTTAAAACTTTCTGAATGGTAATTTTACAGTCATAGTAGTCTGTAATGCAACCTTGTATACGCTGATATACATACACAGTAAGGTTACATATGTACTTAAGCTTATGATAAACGTAAATAATTAACTCAAGGAAGTCAGCTATTCGTTGCTTTTATACTTCCGTTTGTACTTTCGGTTATTCTCGTCCACACTTCCGGTAACTACCGTTATCATGTTAACAGTGTGGCAGATTGGAAAGACTATTGGGTTTGATGGTGAATGAAAACAGAAAAGGTGTCTAGTATTGTGTTTTACATATCTGGTAATAATAATTTTATCTGTTTAAATCAATAATAAATCTTTAACTTGACTATTTTACGAATCTCAGAAATGCCGATTACTTAATAAGTTATATAAAAGTTGATTATTCTTGACAGATCAAAAAAAATATGTGCATACTACGCTGACGCACTTCGTAAACACAGAAATAAGCTTTGATTCCTTACAACATTTTCGAACAAAAGCCTGATTCAGACACTAAGATGACGTCAGCTTTTGTTAACAACAACGACCTCATTAATAACTGAGATAGACTTAATTGTTATAGTAGAAACAACACTTAAACTAAGCTTAATCTGCTGTACGTCTTTGCCAAAGAGACCTCTCACCCAGTGTTCTACACCACTGCCAGAGAGACCTCTCACCCAGTATTGTTCTACACTGCTGCCAACGAGACCTCTCACTCAGTATTGTTCCACACCGCTGCCAACGAGGCTTATCACCCAGTATTGTTCCACAACGCTGCCAACGAGACCTCTCACTCAGTGTTCTACGCCACTGTCAACGAGACCTTTCACTCAGTATTGTTGCACACCGCTGCCAACGAGACCTCTCACTCGGTATTGTTCTACATCTTTTCCAAAGAGACCTCACACTCACTATTGTTGCACACCGCTGCCAACGAGACCTCAGTACTGTTATACATCTTTGCCAACGAGACGTCTCACTCAGTATTGTTGCACACCACTGCCAACGAGACCTCTCACTCAGTATTGTTATACACCGCTGTCAACGAGACCTCTCACTCAGTGTTCTACACCACTGTCAACGAGACCTCTCACTCAGTATTGTTCTATACTGCTGCCAACGAGACTTTTCATTCAGTATTGTTCTACACCGCTGCCAACGAGACCTCTCACTCAGTGTTGTTCCACACCGCTGCCAATGAGTCCTCTCACTCATTATTGTTCTATACTGTTGCCGACGAGACCTCTCACTCAGTATTGTTCCACACCGCTGCCAACGAGACATCTTACTCAGTATTGTTCTATACTGCTGCCAACGAGACTTTTCATTCAGTATTGTTCTACACCGCTGCCAACGAGACCTCTCACTCAGTGTTCTACACCACTGTCAACGAGACATCTTACTCAGTATTGTTCTATACTGCTGCCAACGAGACTTTTCATTCAGTATTGTTCTATACTGTTGCCAACGAGACCTCTCACTCAGTATTGTTTCACACCGCTGCCAATGAGTCCTCTCACTCATTATTGTTCTATACTGTTGCCAACGAGACCTCTCACTCAGTATTGTTCCACACCGCTGCCAACGAGACATCTTACTCAGTATTGTTCTACATCTTTGTCATCGAGGCCTTCCGCTCAGTATCTAGACTGAAACTACAAAGTGGTTTTATCTCAATTGGGTCTTGAACCACAAAGCAATATTATCTCAATATAGTCTAAGACCAGTCTGAAGGATCAACGGTATCCGAGAAAAATAAAAAGGACTTCTGAACACGTGCAGGAATTAAGATTGGTCAAAATAAAGTGTTTTACGATGTTATATAGAACACAAACCCGACGAAATGGACGTTCTGGATAAAGAAATAGGGCGAACTTTAAAGAAAGTTCTGAAAATATTTCTTAAAAAGAGTCATGAATAATATCTATGAAATGTTAGAATTAAAACTATGTGTAATTCGGTCAAAAAGATACACAAGTTTTACTTCTGGTGTTAAAACAAAGAACTGTTCGATAATATTTTCAGGATTATTAAATCTTGAATTACAAAAAAAGTTTATTTTTGAAAAATTTAAAACCTGTAGCAGACACAAACAAATGGGAAGTTGCTTTCAATTCGAATAGTGTTACAGCTATCATGCTTGTAAAGCATGATCTGTGGATCGTTAATTTTTATGTTATATCATAATAAGACGAATAGCAATCTGTGATAACTAAGATATGAAAAACTTTATCATCAGTCTTATTGTGATGCAACATTACACAAACTACCGGTTCACGTGAATGTTTTATTAATTTAACAAAACTAATTTTCTACAGCTATATTTCACAACTTGAAATAGTTGTGTTCAGTAGAAGTTCTTGCTCAAATTCTTTCAGGCTATTTTAAAGTCGAAGTATTTTCTCATTCGACGTTTATTATTGGGCTGTTTTATCTTTACAGGTTATGATAAAGAAACATCAAGGTTCGAGTATCTTTGTTGATGCTGAAATATTTCATTGCAAGAAATTATATGTGAAAGCAAAAAAAATCAAAAAATCTAACAATGTGTCAACACATACTGTATCCGCCATATTCCAAATGTCGTTGAGCCCTTTCGACCAATACCAGGGTTCACCAGGCCGGCTGTGTTACGACAGACACAACAATGGTCTAGGTGTTATTTATATCATCCGTTGCATGAACAACAACTGTTGTGGTCAAAACTAGGTTAAGTAAGCGAAATGAATTATTATAATTTTTATTTAATTCATTTTAAAATCGGAATTAAGGTAAGGATTACTATCACATCATTATATATTTTTTTTTCGCCGGGTTTACCCTTAAATATATATATGTATCAATAACGGTGAAATTAATATCAGAAGTAATATTAAAATAGTTTATAAATATGGAAAACTTTAATTCATGAATTATATTTTTATAAAACAAACATTTTCCTTTGTTTATATGACACGGAGCTTCATGAAATCATTACTAGACCGGATGAAATGCTTGAAAACGTTTATTTTAAATCACAAATTTAATAGGCACAGAACATTTATACTGCCGAACAAATGTATAGATGACCTAAAATGCGGTTCTAAAAGCACACAAGCAAAGGGAAATTTCCACGTTTCAAAGACGAAAAAAAGAAAAAATAGAGAACAAAAACAAAAAAAAAACACTCCTTTTGCATTTGCTTATACAAAAACAAACAAACAACAAATCCATAATTTTGTTTCATCAGAATCAAAGACGTTTGAGAAAAATAAATCGCGAAAACCAGAAACAAGCTGATTTTTCAAAAATTACATTTTCCATATAGGTTGATTAATAATGTTGACAAAAGCATTTTAACACAGAAAACAAAAAGAACGAAAGGACTTTTAAATATTCTTTGATAGCTAAAAGAATATACCAACCACTGAATCAAGATATTCCGCAGTTGAAGTAAGAACTAGGCGCAATTTAACTTTATTTGATTTTATACTGTTAGTTATTAATGAAATTTCATTCCACATCTTTAACTTTCTAAAAACTCGTACTGATACTGGTCTAAAAAACATTCAAATATTTTATAATTTTTATCTTACTGCATAAGAATATATATATATAAGACTATAATCTAAATGAAAAAAAAAACAAAAAACAAAACAGTCCCATTTAGAAACGTCTCACTTAACTTAAAAGCAACAGTGAAAAATTTTGCAAACAGTTATTTTCTGGGTATTCTATTATTCCTTGTTTCAAGGTTGCAGAATCTTTAAATTTGTTTTTGAAATGTGTTAAACCAAATTAATTTTTTTTTTGGAGAGAAAATGAAAAAAATGTTCCAGATCGAAAACAATTGTTTTAAAACTCCTAAGTAATTTTAAACAGCTAACGAACTGCGGTATACTTACATATTATAAAAATGATATTTTAATCACATTCCCTCTTATGAAAATATTAAATTTATAATTTATAGAAAAAATACATATTGTAATCCATAAAATATTTTGGAATATGTTTCACAGTTATTCTAAGGTTTATATTTTCAAGAATACACTTGGAATGCAAATTGAAAAATGTGCTTTTGAACTAAAACAGTACCTTAGAGGTAAAGGTAAAAAACTGTTAACTTTAACTGTTTTTAAACCTAAGCTAGAAGTACGTTTCCTTTATTTCTTTTCTTCATTGCTCAAAACGCTATCGTAATAACTTCAATCAATCATCCATTACCCTATAGTGAGGAAATAACAGCTTTACTTGAATAGAGTTTTTCACAACGGTTAATTAAACGATTATTTAGGAAATTCTTTAATTAATTACTTAGAAAACGTTTAAAGATGTTGTGACTTATTGCACTTTTAACACCTTAATCAAATTTTTATAAGTTAACCAACAAAGTTATTTATGGTAAAAATGCTATTTTTACTTTCTGAAGAATATTGAAAAATAAGACAACGGACAAACGTTGTACACTGAAGAAAGAATCATTAATCATTTCAAACATCAGTTTTAAAACAAATGAAATACTATGGTGTTTAAATTATCCTTTAACATTCAGAAGGATACGAATATTAATTCAGTTATTAAACATTTAAGTGCAATGTTATATTAATTAATTCAACAGAAACATTAAGTAATATGAGGCAGAAATTAGTCAAATGTTTCGTTGTCTTCTAACGAACTTTCGAGACTAAAAAGAGTAAGACGTGAGTAATTTTTGTCCGAGTGTATAGGAGTAATATATACAATTATCTACAGTATTTCTGACTCATATATGAGTTAGATTCTTATTAGGATTCATATAACAATAAACATTTAACTGATATTTTCGTGAACAATTTATAATTATGCGGACTAAATTGTAACTCTTATTTCTTAGCGTTTAATCAAAATTTGTCACAAACATCACACACACATCCTCTATCGAGTATATAAACGCACTTCTGTGTTCTTGGTAGTCGAGTTGCGAAGATGTACAAGTAAGAGTCTAACTTTCTGACATAATTAGAAGCAAAGTTTGATTAGTGAGGCCAAAACACTGGCATCATGAATTGTTCAATGTCTTTTATGTCCCAGTTTCGCTTCGGTAACTTCTTAATACTTGATCTGTTCTCATGTTTTGTTGCCTCCGACATTTCAGCGACGACAAATTAATAATACACACACACACACACACACATACACACATTTGGCACAGAATAATGCTTTTTTTCCTCCTTCACATTAGTTTTCTTTCTAGCCTAGGCTTCAGTAGTTTGTAAAATAGACGTTACAGGAGCTGCTGGTCTCCGATATGATGTAGATGTTCCCCCTGACACTAAACTGATCAGCTTTTCTCGACGATGTACCTTCAGGTGCTTGGCTAGGTGGTCGGACCTGGAGAAACGCTTCTCACATATCTGACAGCGATAGGGCTTGATACCAGAGTGGGATCGTTTATGGCGGGCCAGCTCATCGGAGCGAGAGAAACGCCAGCCGCAGCCAGGCCATTGGCAGGCGAATGGTTTTTCACCCGTGTGTCGTCTCAGATGGGCTTTTAGATGAGAGCTTTTAGAGTAGACTTTGTTACACCCTTGGTACGTGCAGTAGAAAATCTTTTCTTCATCTTTAGCTGTAGACCCATTTACGCCCATTCTTTGGGGTCCTCTTCGGTTCCCTGCGGAGGTTTGAGGGAAGTTCAGTAGTGGGGAAGAACTAGTTATAGGGCACGTGGGGATAGTGACTGGTCCCATGGAATTGTTTCTGTTTAAAAGGCTGCGATTAAACCCATTAAGGGCACCTTGAGGTTGAAGAACAGTTGTCATGTTAGTTTTGTTGTTATAAATAGGTCTCCGCTGTTGAATGACCGGTTCAGGTTTAATGTCCTCTTCCCGTAACCCGGACATTAAGGTTTTCAGGCCTACGCCTAAGACGACTAGATCACTCTCACAGGTTCCGAATTCTGGCATGGTGTCGGTAGAAGAACAAAGGTCAGAACCTGAAGTGGAATCGGGGCTGAAATTATAATTGGAGACAGAACCTGTCTCAGCGAACATACATGAAGGATTAACGGCTCTAGAGTTATTCGTCTGGGGCAAAGTGGGTCCAATCCATTTACAGTCCCATAGCCCCTGGTAAACACTATTATCGGTGAAGGATGGTTGACCAAGCTGAGAAAATGGGTCATTTTCGCGACTAACACTAGGAAATTCTGGGGTTTCAAGTGGACCTTCTAAAGGAAGCTGGGATATGAGGTAATCAAGGTAGGCATCAGGTTCAATTTTATCCAATGACCAGTCGTCCCATGGTAGTTCTCCTACACTGATGTCACTTTCTTCATCAGAAGAGTTGAGTTTATGCAATGTGATAGTTTCTCGCTCCAAACTAGAAGACAAGGGTAGCAGGTCTTCCATGCTTGCACTCGAACACTTACAGAGATTCAGAGGAGAATATTAATAACACAATCAATACTCATAAATACGCATCCCTTCAGAATACTATAGAAAACTCAGAATAGGAAACAGGTGTGCAGGGCAAAATAACACGAACGTTGTTGACAGAAAAGGTGTTGAAACAGTATTAAGTATTCACAAGTAAAACGTACACAATTACGTTACAGTTATTGCTGCATTTTAACTACGCTATCACAGTAGATGGAAAGAAATCCACGAACCACACGACTCTCCTCTCTTATAAGGTTTCTTATCACTTTCTCTCTCTTGCCTTTGACCCTGTGAGACTTATGAATGGCTTGAGATATCCAAAACGTGCCCTGATTGGCTATTTAGTATCCACCAATAGAAACATGGAAAGCCACTTGGACAAGAGCAACTGAGTGGCTATCGAGACAGGCGAGGAGTTGTGCGAAGGGGAGGGATATGCTAGTTTTTTTTTTTTTTTTTAGTACTCTGCCTTCTGTGAACTAAAGACCACTTCTAACAGATAGATATTTTCGACCACATAATTCTCAAATTTTTGTTGATCGACAGTACGAGCACGTGGTCACAGTGCATGGCACGCGCGCGCGTCTAAACAGATTAATTTTCACTTCCGTTTCGAATATCTTTTTTTTTAAAACGTGACCTATGTTTTTAATTCTATTTTATAGGCAAAACGCACAAATATAACCATCATTATAAAACTTCCAAAAGTTTCTTCTCTTTGTCTAAAAGTTCTTAGACGTATAAAGGCTATGATAAATCCCATATTAAAACAAAAATTCTCACGAAGTTTTAAGAACTTTCAAATTTACAATTTACAGATAAGTGTCAGGATGTTATAAGCATTTCGGTACAGTTAGAAAAGATAAAACGAACATGTTCAAAACAATTTTGCTCAATTAATTCTTATATATATCAAACAAGTTCTTGAAACACACATATTCAGTAACTGAACATTACGCCATTTTCGTAGTCAACATTTCTTTCCGAACAAGAACAGAACCTGTTCAAGAACACGCTGTCTCGTTGAATTCTACGTGATTAGTAACTGAACAAGGCTACGACGTTTTCTTGCTAAAAAAAATCATTATCAAACAAGAAGAAAACTTGTCCAAGAACGTGTTATGCACTAATTACTTACTTCATAGTCGTGAAAAGTTGGAATATTTCCAAAGACGTCCAGTTTTTTTGGACATCATAGGAAGCCTTGAATCGGTTTGAGGAGATATTATGCTTTAACTACTGTGAACGTTTTTAAGATAAAAAAAATCGATCATCTGTTTGCCTGGTTGCGCAAAATCTAAACGTACAGAAAAGAATACTTACACTATAATTTATCTTTTATCGAGATCACCTAACGACGACACCTAGGAATACTTTTGGGAACTATCAAGTTTATTAATTATTAGTTTTGAATCACCGTGACGAGTTCGTTAACCCTAATTCGGAGAAAATACTTAAAAACGTACAATTTATGCACATTCGTTATTTTACGAACATTCCAGAACCGATGTAGTATTATGTTTTATATTACACAGCTGATAATTAATTATACAACTAAGCGGACCATTCTTCGTTGGTTTTATTTATTTACTTTTGTTTCTTATGTAATTTTACTAAATATTTTTATTTGTTTAGAGAAGAGGCCCGGCATGACCAGGTGGTTAGGGCGTTCGACTCGCAATC